AAAGAAAAAAAAATGTGGCAGCTACACGAAGTTCAAAATGAAAGAAAAAGAAGCTTGAAGCAAAGCTCCAGTTAGGAGGGGTTGTGAGAACCTGACCTGTGGAAACAGTAACAGCCAAACCCAAGAGAAACGGAGGGTGTGTGTGTGGGTGTGTGCGTGAATGAGTGTGTGAGAGAGAAATAGAAGATAAGTCACTCTGTGGGAGATAAAGTAAGAGCGCATGAAACATGAGGCTGACCTGGGCAAGCTGCCAGAAAAACACCGACACCCTGGATGTCCAAGACTTCTACAACCTGGTGAATACACACACAAACATAGGGATCTTGTGACCATATAAACAATATCATATAAAAGCACATGTATACATAGTGGGACAAATACGTTTCAATTCTTCTTATCCATTAGATAAGAATTATGCAAAAGCTCTGCGTCAACATGCACACATGTGACATTGTTAATCGTGTGGCTTGTTTTTATCTCACACGTGATCAGTATACGCTGGTCTTTTCTTACATAATCATTTCTTGCTAATATCTTTGATCAGCAAAAAGATACAAGGCTGACAGCTCTTTTTCCCTCCTGAAGCCTTGAGAAGTTAGTGAATACATCTGTTTGGTGATCCAATTTCTAAAGCTGAATTTATTTTTAGTGATATTGATGTAAAACAACTGACTGAATATTTCTCTAAACTATATTTTCTGTCTTATCTGTGACAAATGTGACAAAAAGTTGTAGGTAAAGAAAAGCTGACACAACACTGATCTGTTCCATCACACACACAAAAACCCTGCAAAAAAACCGTTTCACTTTACTTTCAAACATGAGGATAAATTTCAGGAACTTAGAAATACTGTCTCAGAAAATATATCTGGACTCTGCTTGACCTGGAGTCTTGTAGATTTTAATTATCTTGTCATTATTTAGCATCTTACCCATTTACATTAGCATTAGCATTATTTGTAGCATGTTACTGGCTTCTATGGATTTTATTCAGTAATTTTTTTTTTCTGGGTGATAGTGGAAAGAGAAGTTTTTTTCAGAGAACAAATAAAAAACCTACAATACTGCCCACTATGACAGTGCCTCAGAGAATAAGTTCCCTTTAGGCTGTTTAGAGTAAATATAAATATATCAAACAAATAAATTATTTCTTCCATGTTTAAAGTAACGTAATTTATTCAACATGAAACTTCATAGAAATGCATTAGCTGCATCCATCCTGCACTTCTCTCTTCACCTTGCAAAGTGCCGTCATGGCCACAGAGTCCATGAAGGTAACAGAGCTGAGATCCAGAACCAAGCAGTAGGTGTGCATGTGTGTCTGTGCTGGGGGGGAGGAAACCGAAGAAGCAGCGATGTGAACTCCAGCTGAGTTTTCCTTCTGACCATGATTCACCGTCTCCAAGTTGCAAGAGGAAAGAAGTGAAGAGGAAAAGTTACAAGTGAAAAATTTACATTTCAGTGCTTCAAACATGCTTTTTTTCTATTTCAACTAGAGGGATCAAATCCAGTGCACAAATCCACACACACACAAGCACATTGCATAAGCATGGGGCTGGCGATGAAACTCAGAGTTACACTCAGTGGACATTTTCACCGATTCAGTTTCTGGAAACATTCCTCAGAGATTTTGGTCCCACGCTGACGTGCCAGCATCACACAGTTGCTGCAGATTTGTCGGCTGCACATCCTTCATGTGAATCTCAAATTTCACCACATCCAAACGGTGCGCTATGGGATCTGGTGACCATGGAGATCATCTGAATACAGTGAACTGTTGATACAAGGTAGGATGGTGCCAAGTTTTCATGTTGTTTACACCAAATCCTGACCCTCCCATCTGAACGTTGCAGCAGAAATCAAAACTCATCAGATGAGGGTACATTTTTCCAATTTTCTACTGTCCAGTTTTGCCAAATTGCAGCTTCAGTTTTTTGTCTTTAGCTGACAGGAGTGGTACTCAGTGTGGTCCTGTGGTGCTGCAGTTCGTTTGCTTCGACATTTGTGTTCAGAGATGCTCTTCATGGTTGTGATCTGTGATTATTTGATTTACTGTCGCTTTTCTGTTACCATGTCTACCATGTCGAGTCATTTTCCTCTGACCTCTGACATGAAAAGGCCATTCTTCCTTTAGAACTGCCGCTCACGGGATATTTTCTCTTTTTCATCCCATTCTTTGCAAACTGTAGAGATGGTCTTGTGGGAAAATCGCAGTAGATCAGCAGTTTGTGAAATACTCAATCCAGCCCGTCTTTTCTCATTCTACGTTCAAAGTTACCTAAATCACCTGTCTCTGAGCTACTGCTATGTGATTGGCTGATTAGAGTTTTATGTTTAAAAGACTTAATGTTTGGTAATCATTAGGTTGAAGATTCAAGATCAATGTGTGTGTG